GTGGGTGGGTGGGTGGGTGAGTGAGTGAGTGAGTGAGTGAGGCATGCTGCGCACGGTGGGATGCGCAACAAGCCAGCGCCGATCCCCCACGGCCCCGCAGGGGGACGTCATCGCCCCCTCCACTTGCAGTTCACGCTGGCGAACGCCCCAGCCCCGGAATCAAAGTTCTAAGGCCAGCAGCCGCTTTTGTTGGGTTCGACCGGTAAAAACGTTCCGAGTCATTGTTCGGTAACTTTCTGAACTGGAGAGGTCCCAATGCCACGAATAACACTTTCAAGGCAATTGGAAGTATATATGGATAGATTGTCGCTCACGGCTCAAACTGGATTTCTACCCGATATCACGACGAAGGTTTGCGGCACGAGAAAAAAATGTTTGGATCGCCATCTGCGGATTGCTGAATGCAGCGAGCTTGTTCGGGGTGTCCGACTGGTCACCTCACAGATCCGGATCCCTCCCCTCCGTTCCGACAGTAACATCGACGTCTACGTTGCCCGTGGAGCACCTGAGCCAATCACTAAGCACAAGCTTTCGTAACCGCCTAGGCGAGAGCCCGATTTAGCCGCGCCCCGGGCAAGCCCGATCCAGCCCTCTGCCACCGTTGCACGGGGAAGCACCGCATGTGCACGTCCGCGACTTGGGCAAGAATGGCGAAACGGGGAAGCACACTTGGCACAGTGATGCACAGAGGACCTTACGCCGAAATACGCCGAAGAGGAGGTTCAATGAGTTAAACGTATAGGCATCTCGGTTGCGAATCTTGAGGCATACAGAGGCTGTTGTTCAACCTTAGTTCTCGTTCCCTGGAACCTCATCTTGCCTGTTTGTCCTTCCCTTTCCCTGGCTGCACAACGGAGCGGCGCATCTGGAAGCAAGATGTCTGAAGATGTCCTTATCCGTTCACTGGTTTTCACGTGTCCTTGCACACCTGCACTGCAGATTCACAAAATATCCATGCTCAGTTTGCCTCAGGATGAGCAACTCCCACCCAAATTCTTTTGGAAGCCTAAAAAACGGCGGCTTCACAAAACAAGCTTGCGAGCTGGCAAACAGCTCGGCACGAGATGCTGTGCCTGTCAGGCCGGAACGGGATGACTACGAAGCACGGCCGAAAACTGCACAACTTGCTGCAGTCATGGAAGGGTGTTCACACACGCAGGCTGGGCAAAGGTTGCACACTAAGCCGCGAAGGCATGAGTCACATGTGTACTGCGGAACAACGATGTCGTGGACTCCCACGGCGTATCTTGGCAGGGGATTCCCCCCTTGAACAAAAAGTGAAGCCATTCTTGCTGTGGAATTCGGGTACGGGCTTCGTCTGTCCGCTCAGTTCTTCTGGGAGTGGAGGCGGTGTTTGGAGGTTCCAGGTTCGATTCGGACTACAGTGACTACGGTGACCAGCCGCCCGGCCTGCTTCGCCCGCATTCATAGGAGCCCCCACTGCAACGAACGGATCTGTGTTCAGCCAGGCAGCGCATGAGGTTCGCATTCATGCAGTGGTGCTTCACCAAGCCTCCTCCTCGGGCTTCATGGTTATGAAGCATCAACGTTTGATGTTGGTAATGACCCGGAAAAGCCACATGAAGCACCTCCCGCGGTCTCTGCCACCAGGCATCCAAGAACAATGACTCCAGTCTTTCGAGCTTTCATGGCCTCATCATTCACTCTTCGGATGTCCTGCACCAGATCCACCACAAAGCCTCGGCTGCACCCAAACACTGCCTTCACCGAAAAAAAAGCGAGCAGCATGCCAAAGCAGTTGCAGAACCGATAAAAAAAAACTGTCGTGAGGGGGCAGGCGACCACTTCGCTTGTAGCTGTGGAAGTACAGCATGTCCCCTATCGAGCCATCCGTGATCGCTGGGCAGAAAAGGGGTATGTTGTTGCCTTACGTGGGCTGCATAAACATTGCGCAACTTGTTCTCGGTTCGGCCAAACACAAAGCAGTTTCAAGCAAAATCAAGCAAGTCGTGGCTGCGATATGCCCAATAGCAGACCGAGGCGGGGTGGTTTATCTCCTGGATCAGAAGCACACGATGCGCTGCAATGCTTTTCAGCTTGGGATCTTCGAGCAGTTTGAGGACAAAGGGGTTCCGGAAAACAGGCTGGTCTATCTTGCTGTTTGAGTGTCTGACTGCAATGTATACTGGTCTTTGGATGCGACATTGCGCAGCCCACCTTCCCAAATCGATGAATCATCTTGGACGGAGACCACACAACACCGTCGTTTTCCTCGAAGTGCACAAACAACACTCTACACGACATGCGCGGAAAATGCATGCTCTTCTAAAGTCAGTTGGTACAGCGTTTCTATCATTCTTGCAATAAGGTTGCAACAAAGCTGCCTGCTCATCATGCATGGCATTGAGGATTTTCATTATCCAGTCCTGGCAGATACCCTGCAAGGAGGCCGAGCTCAATTCTTCGAGGTCTTTCGTCTTGCAGGCAAAAATTGGACACTTTGCTCCTCAAACAAACAGTAGTTGTCGTTGGGAGCCAGGAGGTTTCCTCGGCAAAGCACATGCACGTGTTCAACAAATGAGGTGCAAGGCCAACTGAATATCTGAATATAAGGCTTCACAAATCAAGCAGCCAATTCGATTGATGCCGCGTCGTCGAAGTCCAGTACCATCCAAAGCGAATTCGCCGAGGTGTGTGGGTGCCAGGCACTTAATTATGTCCTACGTGGAGGGCGACTGCATGTGCACACAGATGCTCGACACCCTGCTTCAAAGAATCGGGGCCTCCTCAATCCCGCCCGCAGTGGATATCATGACCTTGTGTGCTCAGGGTGCAGGCACTCTTCGAGCAAGTCTAACGCCCAGTCCCGGTAGAAGACTTCATTTGCATCCAGACGTGTCTATCAACTATGCTGAAAACATCTGCGTGTCGAAACAAAGGATGCAAATGGATGCTACACCGCTGCGCTTGCGAATCCATCTCCTGAGCATGCTCTTCTATGGTCATCTGAGGAGCTTGAACCATGCTGTGCTGCGCCAGGAAGCGCAGGCACTCCCGAAGCCCCGAGCTGGCGAGAGATGCAGTCTACGGACCATGCTTCACGGAGGAGTGGGTGCTCGATGTCCCTAACCAAGCTAAGCTGAACTTGTTGGATTCATAACTTCGTCGTACCAGCCGGCCAACTGAACACCCAACTGCCTCATCACACTGCGGATCCTCCAACCTGAACCTCACACGGCGGCCTTATCAAGTTGGATGTGTAGGATAGCCAAATCTTGGTCTTCACCTTTCGGCGCTCCTCTCGGTCCATCATGCATAGGTGTTGCCAGCACGACCCTACTTGCCACTATTCACAACGAATGGTCCTCACATTAAGCTGAGCACAATTGCACGCCATATTCTCCAATATTCCCTGTGGTCCTCCTCCGTTTTGAACTCATCAACCTTCCAAGCTCAGCTGCTCCATTAGGTTGCGACATGCGGCTGGAACGGAGCAAGAACCCTAGATTCTAGATATCACCGCGGCTGCAGAAGTTTCACTGTCTTCGAGTCTGGTCCCTGAACGCACCGAAAGCCTTTCCCTTGAACAGGGATCGCGGCTGCAACGTGCCTCGTCATCAGGCACCGGATCATCCGCAAGGGACCAGTCCAGCATGCGGTTGACTTCTTCGATGGCCTGATGCGTGACCATCATCGCTTCGAAGTTGATTCGTTCATGTACAGTCTGTGTATTGTGTCCTACCGTCGTTCTGCCGAGCGCCTTTGCCAGGTTGGTTGCCTGGAATCCTGCAGAAGTGTCAGTCACGTCAGCACGGAAGATAAGGGATTGCGGCAGAACCGCACCGCATGTGTCCGTAAAAACACAATGATGCGGTAGCAGCCGGATTGCGACGGTTTCCCCGCACAGCATGTGGCCTGGCCTGTGCTGCTGAAAGACGATAGGATCTCGTTGAAATCTACGCCTGCTCAGAGCTTGTGACTGAGTGAAAGGCCAAATTTGCAAGTGACACACGAGTTGATTGCATGCGTACTCTTGCAGACTGGCTGGAAATCTGATTGCTAGGCTTTTGCACGATATGACCTGACAGCAGAAGATGCGAGGCTCCCCGAGTAAGCTTTCAACCTGACAAGCCGCGGGCCTTTGTTGAAATCGTATCCCGACACCTCCGGAGTTGAAAGCTTCTCACTGCTGGCGAGAACATACTCCTCGCCACGTCTCAAGACTGAAAAATCAGGCACTACAGATCATACCTGCGGCAGAATGCAAGTGGAGAGTGGCTCTTCTACGAGCGACTGATGTCCATGATTCGAAATGGTGGAGACGGTGACGATTCAAGGTCAAACCGATGCAAATAATGATGACGATGATGATAGCATTTTGAAACAAGCCGATGCCAGGTTTGGCTCAATGAAATGACAGTGTTGAGCTTAGGCTCGATGCAAATCTCGTCAGAGCGGCACTTCCCCGCTTCATGCATAAGGTCACCATGCTTGACTCCCAAGAGAACCACCGTGCTGCGAGCGCACAGCAGTCTCGGCTTTCAACACTCCTGCGTGGTCTTCTTCAGGTACTCAGCATCCACATCCTCAGGGACGAAGGACAAGGAGCACCTTAAATCTTGCCAAGAAACGTCGTCAAAACTTCCTGGCTGCTGTATCCGGACGCGGAAGCCATGGCCAGAAGTATGCATGCCAAGAGAAACTGGTCAAAATCTGCTTGCTAGCTGATGAAATCGTTGTATCGACTAATGTTGCTCGCTACATCAATCATCCACATTGAGATTCCGCTCGGCCCAACATTCCGGAATATCTGTGCTATAAGAAGGACATCGGGTCACCGAGCTCAGCAACAATCGATTTTGGCGGATGGAGTGATCCACGCCAATTCCGCGGCGAATTGCGACTGTACTAAGCAGGTCTTGACTGCGAAACGTGACGAAACATTGGCCACATGCGACTACCACTAGAGTGAAACACACAGGTTCAAAGTATTAGCTGGATTACAGCTTTCATGGAGGTTGCAAGGCCGAAAGGCACAGCCGAAGGCTTCACGGGACGAGGCCTTGGGCGGCCTGGTCGCATGCCTGGAGCAAATGCTGCTCCAGACGCTCCTGGGCACTTTTGTCCAGTTGGAATGTCTTGGCAAAGTTCCGCGAAAGCTTTGCCAAGTCGTCACCCTCGTGCACTCCAATGCGGCCAGTCCGTCCAGGCCCCACCTTCACATCGACGTACACCAAAAGCTGGGGACGTATACTACGCTCACGAAAAGCACATGAGAAAGGCTGCATTCCAAGCCTTCTCAAACGCTCGTAGTTCTCTCCACTTGGAATCCGATTGCTTCGATCTCTCTTTTCTTCATGCTGCTTGTGGGCATTCTTCATGCGAGCAACTGTCGAGTCGAAGTTGCGAACCTGCGGCCGAAGCGACGGACGAAACGAACGGAAAGACGACACCAGCTGAGGTTTGAACGTGCATTCTCGCATTTCCTCCAAGTCTTTCAAGTGCTTAATCTCGTCCTCAAGCTGTGCCCCTTCACGGGCAGCAAAAATAGCCTGGTGGTACAGAAGGTGACAGCGGGACACCGGCTTCCCCCCACACTTCTCCCGATAGTTCCGGGCGGACAACGGTCTTTGCAATCGCCGGCGGGGTGTTGGAACATCTTCCTGAGAGGCCTCGCGAACCTCGCGTTCTGTTGTTCGACGATGGCACGACTGAGTGGTGGCACGACAATGTCTATTTGACAGCATTCGCGTGAAGGCTTTCGACAGCTGCCACTCCAACTGGTTGAAGCATTCGTCTTCCAGGCTCAGCGGTGTCAATGAAGGTGAGGGGCGGTCTGGCTGGTGAGAGACAGTGTCGAGTGCTGTCAGCACAAAGTCGAGTAGCCTGCTGAGTTGGATCATTCCCGTCTCCTCCCTGTCTAGCAACAGAGCCAGTTTTTCACAGAATACTTTCTCGTCATGGGCAGAAAGAAAATCCATCGCCTCCAGCACATCGCCTAATCTCGATCTTGGAACTGCAAGCATGTGACTTTGCCCGGGCAGCTCAACATAACACTGTTGAGCACATTTGCAGAACACTGCACGCAGCTCACGCTCCAAGCGGGCATGGCAAAGTGCTTTCGACGTCCGGCCGAGCTTCGGCTGCGACTGCTGCAAGGCGCTGAGCCAAGCCTCGTGTTCCCGAAGCTGCTGGCGATGCTTCCTTTCCTCTGCCTCACGGTAAAGAGCTTCGTCTAAACCTGGCAGCACTGTGGGCACACCCACAGACACCAATGGGCCAGAATCCATCCCATCCTTCCATCCGATCCAATTGCTCATTGCAGCATGTCAGCAACATTCAAGGCAACAAACTGCCGGACATTGATAGAAGCCATTATGTAGTCGTTCACAAAGCACAATGGGTTCAAACTGACACAAATGCACATGATCTGCCCTCCCACTAAACTAGACGTTGATTGACATGACTTTGCCTTTTTCGCGCCATGGCTTGATCCAAGAAGAATGAAAAGCCTCCATGAGAGCCACGTTGGTCATGTTTCAGATCGCGAAGCGTGGCGACACGACTCGACTCCTGGTTCCGGGTGCAGGTCAAGTACAACGTCCGATGTCCACAGCTCAAAGCTCCATGTAGAAACTCGGGCTCATAATAAACCCACAGGTCGGGCTTGGGAAGGTTCCGCAGACGACGAACCGGTGTGAATCTGTTTCTTGATTCTGTTGAAAAAAAGTAACCTGAACTGACGAATCATCAGAAAATACAGCCCAAGATGCTCCCTGGAAGGTCACCCGTTAACATGAACGTAAACACACTCATGGAACTTCACAGTTCAATGATCTGTCACCGTTAGGTACCTCGCTATGGCATGACATTGCATCTTGCGCATACCGAACAACTTAACTGAAAGAACTCGCTCTCGTCCACTGGTTCCTGGTCGTTTTGCGAATCCTGTCAAATGCTTCCTCGTCTAGTCGCCCATTCTTTCAAGTTCGAAAAACAGGGTTCGCTTTGTTCAGATAGGCTTGCACTGCTCTAGCACAGGACCT